GGAATTTGCATTAACAATTTCAATATGATTTCATGTTTACTTCACGCACAATTTGACTGAATACACTGGTACATTCCTCCATATGTTCATATGCTTAAAGCAGGACAGCTTGACTTGATTACAAACTGTCTTATCCTGAACCACGTAAAGATGGTCAGCAGTCCATGAAAAACGTGGTGCAGCCATTTGTTCTTTCTTCAGTGCTTCTGTTGCTCCATGGAAAATTAATATGCATTTTATTTCTGTCCTTTTCCACTCTTTTCCAATGTGTGTTTGCTTTCCATCACCAGTAAATATGGGAACAGCTCATACTGTGTGGGATGTTATTGCACCTCCTCTGCTACTGAAAGGTGACTCTTGGAACAAGGGGACACTTAGCTATGAGTCCCAACCACTGCAAGTTCATTTAACTGAATTTCACCTCGCCAATAAACCAGATTATTTAAAATGACAAACCCAAACAAATCACCATTTGCAATGTTGATGATGCTGACTACATTATGCAGATATTATCTGACTGGGGACTTGTTAGCTATATCAGATTTACTCCTGGACAAGAGTTTGAGTCCATGGATAATAAAAATTTCAAGGGCAAACCTGTTTTCACCCAATTTTCCTTTGACTTCAATACAACAGGGAAAAGAAAGTGACAAGTGAACTAGGCAAAGCATGGGAGCCAGGTTATCTGTCAACACTCCCAGAATATCACAGAATCACAGAATGGGTAAGGTTGGAAGGAATCACTGGAAGTCGTCTGGTCCAACCTCCCAGCTCAAGCAGGGTCCCCTTGAGAACATTACTCAGGACTGTGTCTAAACAGCTTCTGAATATCTCCAGGGAAGGAGGCTCCACAGCCTCTCTGGGCAACCTGTTCCAGTGCTCATTCACTGAGATGTGTCCTCTCAACACTTTTACCCTGTCATTGCTTATGCTTTAAGAGCGACCAAGGCTCTCCTTCTGGTGCCAGAGTTCAGAGAGACCTTTTCAGGCTCTTCGTTTCCTTTCTGCAGTCAGTCAAAGAGGTCACTGTTGAGCCAGACTTTCTACTTAAGGAAGTAATAAAACAGCTCTAGCAGACACTGAGGAGTGAATTCATTTTCACCAGGTCCAGAGAGGTGTCTCTGGAGGAGGAGAGAAGAAATCACAGGAAGGTGTGAGCGTGGGGCAGCCTCAATAGCAGAATAACACCTCTTGAATTCCCCGGGGAAGGGAGGTGGCTGTGCAGCCCTTTCGCCTGTGAAAGCAGTTAATAGAGATACATCTGAGCTGTGACAACATCACTCATGCCAGCAGAGGATCAGTAGGCAGTTTCCTCTTTACCTTCACTATATGTATGTGTACCAGGTAATACAGCCATGCAAAAGCACTGCAGTTGCTCAAAAATCTTCCAAGGATTCATTTGAAAGAGATATTCCATCAAATTTGCACATTATCCAGCTACAAAGAAAGGACATTCGTGTATGCAGGCATTCTGGCAGGAGCTATTTGCTTTGGGGCCAGATGTAATTCAAAGTTATTCTGAATATTACACTGCAGCAGCCTGGCCAAGCACAGTAATGCTGATTATTAGGGTTTTCCTGGTTTTCCAGATGGATCTGATTTCATTTAGTTCTCTCTCTGGTAATTAATAACTTGTCCCTTTTGTTCATGTTGAATCTTAGTTTTATCTTTGGCATTTTGTGGAATAGTTTCCAATTTACTTAATCCATTTCTTGCCTCCTCGGTGCACGTAGCTGAACTCATTCAGCCATACACAGTTTAGTGATGTGAAGCTCAAATCTCTGCTGCACAATCTCACATCCACTTCACATCGAGCTGGCACTTTTGTCATTTATATTTCATACACTATAAACTCACAAATCATACCATTTCATACTAGAGCAATGTCAATAATCTTCTTTTTTTTTTTTTTTAAAGAGAAACACCCTAACCACTAGCAAACATATGGGATCTGTACATTCTGTCCTTTAAACAAGTGCAGATTTAGCAAGGAGGGGGAGGGAAAGGGAAGAGAACGAGAGCCACGTCCCCCCACTGCCAACGCAATGCATGTTCCTGCAGCATCAGTGTTTGGATTAGGCCCATGGCCACCCTACTTAGGTTTCAAATCAGGAAAAAAATAGACGGAATTCAATTCCTCGCTGCCAATTTTCAGTAAGATTAGACTTCAGCATACAGAGGATTTTTTAAAATAGCCTTCACATGAGACCAGCTCTTTGCATTGAGAGTGTGTTCATAAACGGGATATCAGATGTTAATAAATGACGAGTATTTACTCTGTAGGCATATTACAGACATGTGTAAAATGTGCTATAGGAGGCTAAACACTCACTGGTTACAAACAGGCTTAGACACAACAGCGCAGATTAACCAGACTGCCTTTTTTATGCTTTAACTCCCAGTACACAGCACAGCTCACTCCAGGACTGGGATCCTAAGCACTTCCACAATTTAAATGGCAAATATTAATCTACCAGAACATATAAACAAACAATTAGTTTGAAGTGTGCAGATGAAGTGGGCTTGCACCCAGTAGCTGGATGTCGGAGCCGGCCTGTACGTCTGTGTGTACGTGCACAGTCCCACGCATCCCATCAAGGACAGGAAGGGATGTCAGTGGGTCCCTCCAATGCTGGTCTGCATGGAGGGAAGTTGAGTCACTGAACACTGGAAACCAAAGAGCAGGATATCTGTGGTATCTGATCCCAGCAGTAGTGGGACAGTCACTCCTCAGGCTGGATGCACCAAGTGTCGAGAAACCCAGGTGTGGGGGCTTCTGGGCTTATGCTGCTGTTCCCAGGGGAATGTGGGCTCATGGCTGTTCTCTGTTTTCTTTTCTTTTGTCCTCCAAATACTTGGAGCACATGGGACTCCAGTTACTGTATATTTTAAAGCCTTTGTTCCTTTATCCTTCATCCTGAACCGTGACATTGAACATGCTTCAAATGAATGAAAAGCCCCCTCTAAATCTCATCACAATTCAGTGCCTGTCCTTCTGTGGGACCACATTTGGGGTTTTTTAACAGATTAATGGCCAGAAGATCACAACAAAGAGCACTGCATATGACTGAATATTAACTTTTAATAGAGTGCATTGAGCTCAGGAGCCGATTAGAGCCTTCATGAGGCAAGAGCAACGCTAATCCTGGAAGGACTCCTAAAATCTTTCGTAAGCTGCATTTAATTAAAAGAAAATGAAATACGCGAGAGTTGATGCACAAGTTGTGCATTTGTGCATCCCACTCAATGAATGAATCATTTCCCTGCCTTCTCTGACACAGAAATACCTTGCAACCCATTAAAGATATTAAATATTCTTACAGCTCCAGTGGACCACGTCACCACAAGCCACCCAGGCCAAGGCCATTGAAGTCCAGAGCTGAGCTGGTGTGACTATAGTGCTTCTGCAATGGTTTGTGTAGAGGATAACATCCAGACAACAGCCTGTCTACAAGAGGACATGACTGCCTGTATCACTGCTAAGGCAAACATCACCCAAACTGTTGTTACGTTCACAAGATAGAAATTTGTTTGTATTTTCAGACCCTCCATAATACATATACAGCATATGTGCATCTGGGAGAAATCTCAATCAATGGAGCTCTAGCAATGGTACCACTTCATCATGGGAAAAGCACATCTTTCTCACACAGGCCCTGTTCTTACCAGTTGCCCCAGTCCTGCTACTGGTAGAGAGCAACAGGGAGCCAAGAACCTCTAACTGGAAAGATGAACGACGAGGTGGATGATTGTGCATTGATCAAATGGCAGTCAGATCCTACTGGGATGCAGTATGGGACCAACCAGCCACCTGCCCTGGTACAGAGCACAGACCCTGCTCCTCCCCATCGCTCAGCAAAGGGCAGATTCCCACTGCACACCCATAGAGCAGAGCAGCCCTGAAGGCACAGGCGCCTCATGCTCCTCCAGTGTGCTGGGGACCTGTCAGCCTCACTCACATCCCTCCAAGGGCTGGGGCTGGGGTTAGATCAGCAGCCTTCCCACTGGATTAACACAGAGCTTTGCAGCTCTGCCGGCACCATGCCCGTGCCTGTCAGGATCCATCAGACAGCCAAGCCTTAACAACTAATAGAGTAACGGAGTGAAAGGAATAAAATTACCCCTTTCTGAAACAGCCAGAAAAACTCTTAGCTAAGGCTGAACACAGCTTATGATTTTACAGAAAGGAGGATACTGCACTTCTGGGGGCTGCACTGCAAGGGGAAGCAACCAGGCTTGGATGGTCCATAGCTGAAGGGGCAGAGCTGTTCCCACCCCAGTTGCCAACCATTGAATGGGGTTCAGGGCCACTGAAACAACTGGGATGAACCGGGAGCACTGAAGGGGCAGAAAGATGGGAAGAGGGTTGTGCAATAAGCAGCAGTGCTGCTTTTCTTTGCTGCTGATAGCTCAAAATGTCATTTTCATGTGAAAGGCTTATGAATCAGGGAGCAAAAAAGGTTGCTCAGGTTTTGTGCCTTCAGGGTTGGGTTTTTTTAATATATTTTTTAATGTGTGCTGATCTAAGGTCAAAGTAACTCAGGATGAATGATTTCTGTCACCTTTGCATCAAGAGCAGCATGTCACGCTCAGACAGACCCCACGAGTCTCTTGGATCCTGCCATGATCCTCATGTGTCCTCACATGGCCCTCGACGGCTGCGCGCCCGCGCTCCCAACACTTGTGTGCACCAACGTGACCCCCTCCAGGCACCAGGAGTCAGCTGGGTCCATCACGTGGTGGTCAGGGCAGAGGGAACATGTGTCAGACCACAAAACTGCAGAGGGAGACAAGATCCCGGATCTGCTTGTCACCACCAGTTCTGGCCCACCACTCCCAAGTCCTCCCCATACCACTCCCAAGTCCTTATATTTACTGCAGAGCAAAAAAAAAAGCAAATCCGTAGCGTGTAAATCACGGTTAGAAAGGTTGCAAGTCTGTTCTCTCTTGAACTCATGTTCGTTACGGGCAAAAAAAAAAAGGCACTTATAGCCGAAAGCTGGTGTTTAACAATTTATTCCACAGGCCAGTGAGAGGGGAGGAGGGCGATGCTGGTGGGGTGGAAGCTCAGCTAGAAGTAGTTGACGACCCTTCTGATGGACTGGACGCTGGCACTGCGCGCCTGCCACGCGTTGAAGTTGCTGAACTCACCGCGCTCCACCACGTACATGCGGCCTCGGTAGTTGGGCTCCTCGTACAGCACCCACCTGAGCAGAGAGGGAGGGTCACTTGGGTCCCAACACTGTGGTCATGCCAAGTGCCCACGTGGAGTGGCTGCATTTAGGCACTGCAGCACCACAAACTACAAGGGTTTCCCTTAGAATAGCCTGGCAACCATCCCCAGCCAGACTGGACCTTGTACTGGATTACACCAGTGATGAAGCCTGGGAGCAGATGCTCCCCTCTTCACATAACTCTAGGAATGGATCTCTTCGAGCTTCACCATGTGCAACAGAAACAATTTAATAGCCTTTGATAGTGCTAAAGAAGGACATGAGTCCCCTCAGCCCCTGGATAACCTTCTTTTGGACAGTAAGGAGAAATGTGCAACCCTTGATGGATGTTCTGCCTCTTTGAACTGACTCATTAGCTATGATGGGAACCATATTTAGTAATTTCTCTCTTTGTTAGTAATTCTTAATGGCCTCTTTGATGCTTTCCAACAGAGAGCAGGACTTGGCTTGGTTATCTTCACTTCATCTCTGCATCCAGAGTTAACCACAACTTTACCTTGGAATGCAGTCAAATAGATGAAACACTCAATAACCTTGGTGACTTTGGCTTGCCTGACTTCTTCACCTGGCTTGGCTACATCATTCCCTGTGGGGATGGCTCATGGCATGTCTTTCACCGTTTGAAGGTCTTCAAGTCAGGAGCAATTCTAGTGGCCAAGAGGAATAATTTTGCTGTTCTCCTCTCCCTTCACCCCCCTTTAGTCACATTTGTCATGATATTAAAGTGGCCACAAGTGTCACCTCTGTCCTCTATTGAAATCTCCCAAGCTGTTTAAACCAAGTTTTGCCATTGCTCTGACAGTTTTACAGTCATGTTTCCACTGTGTCATTGCTGAGCTGCTCATCTCTGCCTCTTTCCTCTCTTACCAATGTTTTTCAGGATTTTATAAAGATCTGTGCTGCTTGTCCCATCTATTGGCTCCGCAATGACAGCAGAGCAGAAATGCAATCCTCCAAGTCATTTGGTTTCTGTGGTCTGTCTTGCCAGGAACTCAGCGGGGACATTGTGGCTGGGACCTCCTGTATGTGGGATTTCCAGGGAGAAATCCTTCAAGTACTGGATGGGTCAAAGACTGCTGGGCCTCCAGGGTCAGACAACAGCTGGAGAACTCAGATCAGTTTGAGCCAGAGCAAAAAAGGTGGAGGCTTGAGGGAAAAAGTTGTTTATAAAACCAGCCACCCATGGGCATTATTTAAAAGCAAAAAAAAAAAAAAAAAAAAAAAAGAGAAGTTTAGGGTATTTAATCAAGCCATTTTACAGATTCCCTGACATATTTGGATTTGTCTTGTGTTTCTGAGAGGACATGAGGTGGGACTGTGCCGGTCCCTTTTCCCAGCTGCCTGTGCACCACTATGACCTGCCTGGTGCCCTTCTCCTGCCCCGGCCTGTGCCTGCACCATCGCTGCAACAGGCTTCCCACAAACAAGGAAGCATTCTTCAGCACTTTTTGCAGCCAGTTTGTATCTGAACTGGAATTACAAAGCCATCCTCAGACTTTTCCTCTGAAGTTCACTTTGCAGCACATGGAGAAGGCTGCCTGGTGCTCACGTGAGTTTGCAGCAGTTTGAGGTTGCCCTGAAGCCATGTACCCCCATCACATATCCTGATGTGCACTGGCAGAGAGCGTCCTCAGCTCCTCAGCTTAATTAAGAACAATTCATAAAATTATCCTCCTCCTCTAGATACACCCCAGCATTGTTCCTAAGGCACACATGGCTTTCTTCGTTTTCTCCCCCGTACCTTCATCTTACATGCGCTTCTCCATATCTTCAGACGATTTGGATCTCTGTGGCCATCAGCTCACTGTCCCTCCCTCATGCACTCCTGGAAAGAGCTCCCAATCCTGTTTTCTGCACGTTTCAATCACTGCTAATGCTATTGGAGGTACTGCAAGGTGGTAGAACAGGGATGTCCACGGGGCACTGCTGGCCCACCAGGACACGGTGGTTCTTCCAGCTTTTCTCTGCTCTAGGACAACTTTCAACAGCACGTGGACCCTGGGGAATAGAGCAGGGGGAAAAGCAACCCCTCATAGGCACTGTCTTGCCCAAGATTTATGTGTTTCTCTCCAGACACATGGTTGATGTGTCTGCACAATCACATGGAGGGAATGGGACAGGCCTTGGGGTAGATGGAAGCACACTGAGTGACCTGGTGTGGTGACAAGAACCCACTGGCTTGTCCCTTTGGTTAGGGAAAGGCTGCAAAAAAAAAAAAAAAAGGAGGAATAAAGGGAATAGCAAAAAGATGGGGATGAAGTGTATTGGCAGTGCAAGGTGATGAGTGAAGGATTGTATGGCTTACTTAGCTATTCCTTTATTGCCTAAAATTTACGTTCTCTGAGACCGTCAGGAAGAGAAGAAATCAAGTCAGTCAGGAGCCCAGAAAAGAAACAAAAAAAAGGATGATCCTGTTCTCAAGCCCAGCATGGGAGGGCTGATGCAGGCATATAGCACACAGCCCTTAAACATCTTGGTGCTGTGTTTCATTAGCACATAAACCCAGAGGACATGGGAATAAAACACGCATGGAACCAGCTCAAACCCTATAAGCCAAAACTGGCTGCTCACACTGAAAAATGAGGAGGGAAATGCTGCAGCATCAACCTGAACCAACCAGGAGGCTTTCAGTGGGGCTGGAAGTCCCTCATTCTCCATGTAGGATTCAAGCAGTGCCACAGGCAGGTATCGCCTCTGCTGAGAAATATGTGATGTTCATTGGGCAGCAGCATTTGGGTACCTGTTCTGGTTGACATTTCACAACCTGCAGAACAACTACCAAACACTCCTAAATGTTTCAGCAGAATAAACGGTTGGTCTGCTTCCTGCAAGTTGTGTCACTGTGGTGTAGAAAAGCCCTTTTTGGGGTATTCTCTCCTGGGCCGCAAAACAAATTTAGCTTTTTTAAGCTGTTGTTTCTAAGCAGTCCTCTGTGGAGTGGCTGAGGCACAAAGGAGGACGAGATGAGCACGTCTTCATCTAAAATCAGATGATACCATATGTGATACTGGAGCTGGCTCTGCCTGTGGGAAGGGCAAAGCCACTCTCCACTCAACCTGCAACAGCTTCCGAGGAGGCGGCAACACCTCGAAACTGCTCCAAAATAGCAATCTCATTTCCAGCATGGTTTTAACAGCTTTATCATCACCCTTTCTGGCTGTGTGGGGTAACAGTTGCCAGCCCCAGAAGGGCAGCAGGAAAGGTGCTGGACACCCTCGGCCCCACCATGCACCATGCCAAAGGCAGACGTTTGTCTCCATTCCCATGTTTCCAGATGATCCATCATCACTTCCCTCAGGCACGCCCGCCTCCACAAGCGCAGGCAGCAACTTTTTATCAGCACGTGACACCATCCATGGATTTTGAAAAGGAAGCAAATATTTCTGTATCCAACAGATGTCATGTTGAGGGAATTGAGGGTAAAAATCACGGATGGAGGCCGTGGCTGAAACTCCCTTCGTCTCCACTGACCCCCTGTCCTCTGCTCCACAAATGGCAGTGGATGGGTCCTGGGAGAGCTCTGCCAGGCTGTGCCCAGCATCACCTACACCTGCAGCACCTCTGGAGTCACCTGCGCTTATTTGGTCCATCCAAAGGAGAAAAGTGGTGCCATGGGGTCCCTTTCTCCTCCCTGGTCTCACCTCTCTACTGTGGTATCTTATCCATCCCTCCTGCAGCCTGGGGACAGCAGGTCCCTCTGCACTGTCCTACCTTTTAATTGACTTTACAGACATTTCCAAGCATTTCCAACAACCGTCTTCCTGGGATCTGAATGTAATACTACAAACCTCAGCGAGTTTCCTCACCATGCTCCTTTCGGTGCTTGTTTTTTTTTTTTCAATTTTTTATCACTACTCAAGGACCTTGAGAAGTCATGTAACATGTTCACACAAACAGCCCAGGATCCCACGCAAGGGAGAGCAAGCTTTGTGCTCCCGATATATTTTGTAGGGGAAGGGAAAAATCAATCTGAAAAATTTAAGTGCTTGAAAGTTTCTGGGCAGCTTCCCAATTTCTCAAGCTCCAGGCTCTGCCACAAGGACCTGAGCAGTAAATTGGCCCTAAAGCTCTTGCTAGAGTACTCACGGGCTCCCTCTTGGCTTTACAGTGTTGGTACTCAAATGCTCAGCTCTAACAGGGTCCCCAGTGGGCTCCAGCCATTTCTTCCCATTGGAAGTGGGTAGCTCTGCTCCTTGGTTTTAATGAACTGCCACTGCCTAATCATAAGCCTGGATTTTTGGAAGAGCAGAGGTCTTGGTTGAATCAGAAAAAGGGGCCTGCAGGACACTCGCTGTCAGGGTGCCACAAGATCGGATGGCAACAACTATTCTGAAGGAAAAATGAACAGAAAGAGTCCAGCATTCCAGGCTGGAGGCTGGTGAGCTGCACAATATCCAGTCCAGGACAGGTGAAGAACAATGTAGCCATGTTCCTTCCTCTGCAGAGGCTTCCCTCTGCCCCGTGCTTCCCTCCAGCCACCCTCTGCTTGGCTCTGGGAGGATGTTGTGGCATTCCCCAGCTCCCAGCACACTTGCAGTAAAAATGCAATTGTGAGAGGAAAAGGGAGACAGACAACCCATTGGACAACAAGAGAAAAAAAAGACATTTAAAAAGACAAACACCATAGAGAAAACACAAATTTCCACCAAAACAACAAGGAAAAAGCAAATCTTACATACTTCTGAGGCTTTTAGGGGCATCTGTAGAGGCAGGAGGATGAGGCTGAGCATCAGTAACTCATCTGCAAAGTGAGTTCATGAGGCACCAGGGGTGACCAAGACCCCCACGGGGTGTCTGGGCATCACCACTGCAGTTGCCTCTGTCTTTCAGAAGCAGGATTTAATTTTAAGCCTCACTTGTGCCACCCAGGTTTCTGGTGTTGAAGCCACTTGCAAGACAAAAGCCTTGATGCACCAACCGAGCCATGCATCCACCCTCCCCAAAAGCCTCTGCGCAGCTTTCAAAGTGGTATTTGGAAACATGATCAAAAATGTTAGGAAGGCATGAGGGAAGAAGGGGAAAAGGGAGAGAGGAAGGAAAGGAAAAGGAAAAAGGATCAAGCTGCTTTTAAATATCTTGTTCCATACACTGTAAAAAGGTGTCTTGAAATGCTTGTAGCTTGTGTTTAGCTGCCACTCTTTGAAGCAGCTCTCAGTGGTCGGGCACCAAAATTCACCTTAATGCCCACTTTCAGGCTTTCTCCAATCCCCCTCACTCCCTGGAGTGCTGGGCACAGGGTGTGCGGGGCAGGGAGCACGGCAGGGCTGTGGGCCAGGACACGAGCAATTACTTACGCGCCGTCGCCGTACACTTTGAGGGCATTGATGCAGGTCTTGTCCCAGCCTTGTCCCTGCAGGAAGGAGCAATCTTCTGTCAGCTCCAGGCTGGGACCCCTAAAATGGCTCCCCTCGAATATCTCAATCCTGTAATGCTCGCCGTGCTGGGGACAAAGGGATTCGAGTCAACAGTAACACAAAAAAAAGCAACGATTTATTTCTCCGGCTTTTATAAGACAAAGATGAAGATGGAAGGGTGCTTTGGAAGGGGAATGTGAAGAGCAGTCCAAGACCACTGGTGCCAGCATGCACAGAGCACGCACAAACTCGTGCTGCCTCCCAGCACACCAACCAGGAAAGCTGCCAAAAATCCCTCTCCCCTGCACCCCGCTGCACCTTCCTGCAGCTGCCGTGGACACATGCAAACACATCGCTCATGGGGTGCATATGCTCAGGCACATGTAGCCCCTCTTCCATACGCAGATCCACCCCCCCATCCCACAAAGCCTTCATCCCAAATACAGCATCAGCTGCAGACCCGACTCTCTGTGCGCCCACACAGCAAAGAAAGATACGTATCCACAGTGTACAAAGATGCTGGACTATTCCCCTAAACTAATTCGTGTTGCCTTCAGTTCCATGTGTAGCTGCTGTTCCTGATGGGAGATGTTGTGCCTTTCTTTTAGGAAAATGAAAACAGGGAGAAGAAAAGGAAACTTTCCCAGCATCGTCGTTGCTGCGTGAGCCCTTGGCGGTGACACAACACAAATTACTCCGGGGAGATCTCTGCAGCCTGCGGCAGAGCTATGTGGGACAGACCGAGCTGAAAAGATATTTTTAAGCCAAATTCAAAGAATACCTAAATGCATTTTTCAAATAAACAATGTCAGCGCACAAGAAGGCCGGGCTGCGATGCCAAACTCCACAGCAGGCAGCCACCGGCAGCAGCCAAGTGGATACCGTGCCTGAGCAAACATTCCTCTGGGAATCTGTGCTGCAGAAATGCCTCAAAGCACTTGCTGGCATCTTACAGGGAAAACCTTGGGCCCGGGAAGGAGGAGCACATCCTTGTGCTGGCCAGGGTCCGGGGCCTGGGGCAGAGAAACCCCTCCATGTACGGACCATGGAGGTGCTTTGGGAGCTGAAACAGACCCACTGTTGTGTGAAAAGCAGCTTCGGGGCCAGTGAGAAACCTCACCAGCTCCAAGAAGGCTCATCATTGCCCTGGGGGTCTTCAGTCAATGGAAAGACCCAACTCAGATTCATTTTTCTTTGTCATCTTTTAATCTTCCCAATTAAACTTTCCTCTCGACTGTGCTTTTAAAAGCTTCATTATGGGAGGGGAAAATAATGGTTTACTTTAGGATTACTGGGGTGGGGTTTGCAACAGCAGAGAATTCAGCTAGAATTTGCTAGGATCAGCCCAGCTGCCCTATAGGTCCAGTTCAGAGAGAAAGCCCTCAGGCTGCCCACTCCCCCTCCACATCCGTGGGGAGCCCAGTCTGCCACAGCTCAAACTTGCCTTGGGCAATGAATCTCCTACTGGATTCCCTGGTGCATATTTCATAGCAGCTTGCATTAAAAAGGGAAAGCACTTGGTACTAGCAGGACCTTGCCATCTCATCTGGAAAACCACGGGAACATCTCATCCCATTAAAGGCACTGCGCTTCACTGTGGGAGGAAGAAGGACTTTCCTCCTGTCTGGGGACAGGGGCAACCGTGTCTTGGCTTTGTGGCCTTTGCAGAGCGCTCCAAGATGGGACAAACCTTCCCCAGGAAACCATTTCTTTCCCGATGGGACACATTATTTCTAAAGAACACAGGTTTAAATGACGCTTATTCACGGGGCTCCCGTGACCAGGAGAAATAAAACCCAACGGTGCTCCGGCTGGGAGAGCCAAACGCCGCCAGCAGCTTCCAACTCACCATCCCGACGGGCCGGCAGGAGCCCAGGTGGTCACTGCGTCCATTCCAGCGATAGAAATCGGGATACTCTCCGTGCTCCAGGATGTACTGCTGCCCTCGGAAGTCGGGGTGGTCAAAGCAGACCCAAGCTCCGCTCTGGACGCAGATGGAGTTGACCCGGTTGAGGAAACCTTGCTCCTGGAAGCTGTTGCAGCTGCCGCAGACGTCCAGCTTCCTGCCCGTGAAGCATTTGCCTTCGTAGAAAGTGATCTGGGGGGAGGGAGGAGAACGGGCCCGTGGTGAGGAGCAGCGGCACGGCCGGACCCCCATTCCGAGCAGATGGGAATCTCTTGCAGCTGCATCATTTCAGGGTGGTTTGGGTTATTTTAGCTGCTTTCCGGCACAAGGACCACGACATCACTGGCATTTTTTCCTAAGAACCGCATTTGTTTTTCTGGGAACGCAGCGCATCCCGCGTTTACGACGCTTCTCGCCGCCTCGTGCTCTGTTGCACATATTTCCAGCAGGAATGTTTAAACAGGAAACTTGGCTCCCGAAACGCAGCTCCTTCTGCCACACCCCTCCCCATCCCTGCTCCCGAATTTGCTCCCGGTATCATCACTCACGTCGCGTGTGCCAGGTCCATTATCCTCATCAGGGGCTCCAACCCGGAGGGCGCTCGGGCTCTCGGGCCCCAGGCTGAAAGGGAAGCGGTTGGGTCGTTACTTACTTTTCCTGAGTATTGGGACATTTTCTGCTGGCTGTTATCCAAGACCAAGAGCGGGAGCCAGACCAAAAGCGGGATGGACAGGACATTGGACACCCCACTATATAGGGGCCGGGAGGGGGGGGCCGGCCCGGGGCTGGTGTCGCGAGGGCTTTTTAACAAAGCCGCGGGAACCGGGGGCTTTGCGCTTTCCTGCTTCGTAGGCAGAACCGCCGGTGACGGGGCCTGCTGAGTCCGGGGTTTTGATTTTGGGCAGATGATCTGACAAAAGATTTGCTTGGCAGGGCTTTGGTCGATTAGCAGTGCACATTTACCGCTCCTTTTTGGAGGACTTCTTTTTTTTTTTTTTTTTGGAGGACTTCTTTTTTTTTTTTTTTTGGTTGGTTTGTTTTTTTTCCCTCCCTTTTTTACTTTTTCTTAGAGCAGATAAATAAGTAAGGAAACAGCAGCATCTCTCTAAGAATGGTGCATAATTCCTCTGTGTTAGGTTTGCTGCCTTTCGCTATCAGGCTGCTGCTTTTTTCCAGCTTCTTCCCACCTATTACAGCATGGCAGCCAAGAGCGGGCATCCTTGGAAGACTCCTCACCAATGCACACTGCACTCCATCCATCAAACCAATAGTTTCTCATTCAAACATCTTTAAATGGCATCTCTGAAAGCCAAGGACCTGATTTCCTCCAAAGCACAAATGTTGGGCTCACAAACCCACTGATGTTATTCAGAAACATCATTTTTAGGAATTTTTTGATCTTCCAGCACGGAAGCCCTGACTCACAGCTGTAAATCAGGATTAGAGGGACTTTTTGACCACAAAGTTACTGTAACAAAGTGGTTTATATTGCAGCTATATGGGACCATGAAGTCCTTGTCTGTGTTACAGGAACATCCAGAGATTTTAATTGTCTTATTCTCAGGACAAATTAATAAGCAAAGGAAACCCCCAGCCCATAAACCTCATCATTTTATATTAACAAGCCAAAGAGGTGAAGGCAAGTGCCTTGGGGTTGCCCATGGACCAGCATTCAGAGATGTACCAGGTCTTAAAAGACTTGTCTTTTATGCTACTTAATAGCTCTGGAAGAGACTTCACATGTAGCTCCTGCTCATCCAATCCTCCTCTTCCTCACCCACTGGGCCCTCACCATCTCCCCCCTTATCCCGGACCATCAGGCACGCGCTTCAAATGCAAACCCTAAACCCTCATTTCCTGGCAGGTCCAAGTGCTCACATGTGCCAGCAGCCTCGCCTGGCAACCCTGCTCTGCTGCCTTGGTTCACCGCTTTGCTTCAAGATTAAAGACCGTTCCTGGAGAAAGGATGTCATCATTAGGGCTTAAACACACGCCGCCCTTTCAATTAAGATGTAGAAGTTAATAAGCGCGTGTGCGCGCACACGTAGGCTGAGCTGGAGGATGTCAGTTGACTGGGATGCGCTGGAGGAGGAAAGAGGGAGGTGGCACATTGCGCTGGGAGAAGAAACACATTCTTCAGCTGACGCAGGTGAACCTGCCCCGGCATCGCAGAAACACGGCTTGCATTTATGTGTTCTGAGGGGCTGCAGGGAAGAATGAAAAAAGCCTCATCTAATTAAAAAAAACAACAAACCCTCACTGAAGTGCCGGTGCTAATTTTAAGGTGTTAAATTAATCACCAGATGATGCAGAGAAAAGCAACAGTGCACGGAAAGTCTCACTTGGAAGAGCGGCAGCCAGGGCTGGAGGGCACGAGTGGTGTTCCCCAAAACCAGCCCTTCCCTGTGGCCTTGCACTCAGTGCCCTGGGAGGGAAGGAGACGTGTCCCTCTTCTCAGCCATGGCGGGGAACATGAGGGGGACAAGGTGGCACCGTCGTTGGCACTGGGACCCAACTCTGCATCCACTGGGGTCATAACAGCCCAGTGCTCTTTGCATTGGCCATGAGAGGGAGACCCACAGCATCCACGGCAAACTGGCCCTAAAGTACCCAGGAAAGCAAATATTACCTCAGGAGGAGTTTTTTATGGAACCACAAAAGCCTGGTTTCCTCTGGCTCTGTCTCACGATGGGATTTTCCTGTTTCTCCTAAGGTGTGAGATTTAATTAAATGTGCAGGAGCTTGTTGAATCTGAGACTTGTGCCCAGCTGTCGGATTTGTTAGAAGTTGTCCAACAGGCTCAAAAGCTATTTTAGGAGAGATGGAAAGAGGATGAGACAACTTTATTCTCATTTCTTTGAGAAGCCATGTTAAAGATATGAAATAACAAAGGACCCATCTCTACAAAAAAAAAGGAAAATAATGGGAAAAAAAAGAATATGGAAGAATGGCAAATGGTAATTCTTGGACAAACCCCCTTAATTCCTTGCCAAAGATGGAAAGGCTGCCAAGGAAAGAGAGGAAAGAGCAGCCTGAGGAGCCTTTGGCCACTGGCAGCCTTTCAGGCATATGATGTTGGGGCAATTTGCTCCAGGCCAGAGCCAGAGGGTTGAAAGGGTGTGACTCCTGGAGGTAAATCTTTGGGAGTGACCTCACTAATGTGAACAGGAATATTCGTTGTCAGAGGCTTAGCAGGATTAGCATTCTGCTCAGAAGTACCCACTGTTGCAGGTACAACCCCCCACAAATAACAATTAAGGGAGCAGCAGCCAAGGAGTTGCTCCACATCCTCTGGAAGGGCCATCCTTCAGCTTCTAGAGGAGCCTGTAGTATTTGCAAAGCAGTGTAAGACTCAGTGCAGAAAATCCTTATCTCAGGGCTTTCAAAATGCCATCTTGCCTAAAAAAGCTCATCAATTCTTCACCTACCTCAGTACAAGATACTTAGAGCTTATTAGATATGGAGCAACCATGGGTCTTGCTCCTTCCCACAGAAAATTTTTTGGCTTGCTCCTGGGAATAATGAGCACATCTCGTGGGCCTCTTCAGAGCAGCAACAGACCTCACAGTGAGAAAGCATTCTTATGACTCAAGGGAGAGTGTCTATGTGAAATCCACTTTGCTCAATGAAGCCCACCTCAGACCAGTTGGCAAAGTACTGATTTCTGCTGGTGATTAACCCATTCCCAGTGCCTGAGTACACCATGTGCTGCCTCCCAGACCTGCTGGGGAGGCTGGTTACACTGACTGCAGAACATCCTGCAAAACATTCAACCCACCCCCTCACTGGCAGAATACAATCACCTGTTGCTGGAAATGGGAATCAGCTGCCAGGCAATGGTTTTGTGTTCAGTATGTTGTCTTAATCGTGGATGCACTAAGACACAGTCTCTGCAATATCTCTGCCAAGAGTGGCCATCCCACACCCTGACCCACCACCCACCCCATGCCACGCAACACCTCGTGTCAGCCATGTGGAGTCCAGACTGCAGAAAACCTCCCCAGACTGAGGAAACCCTGTCACAGAATGATGGTTCAGATCTGGCCAGGTTCCCGCTAGGAAAATGACTTCTCACCAGGAGATGGGATCAGGTTTAGCCAATTAAAGAGATGGATATTGAAAAAAATCTAAAAAGCTTTTAGAGCCTTAGAGTGTTCAGGGATCAGTGTTAGTGCAGCTCATTGCACAACCCAGCATCTGACTGAGGTGAGACTTGCACTTCATTTTGGAAATCATCAGAAAGCCGGGGTTTGGGGGGTGAAATCCTTTCAGTTTTCATTGTATTTCAAGGAAAAGTTCCAGTAGGGAAACAGGACACCTAAGGAAAAGCTGAATGCTGAGAACACCCATCACCCAGTCTAGCTCAGCCACATTTCCACACCTCAGTAACGAGTTGAACGATCTGCGCAAAGGTTCTTGCCCCCCCTTCCCCAGGTGTCTAAGAGGAGCAATTTTGACCTTATCAGCTGAGGCTGTGAAGATGAGTCAGTATTAGCGAAATGCTCTGAAGATGAGCAGTCCTGATTACATAAGGACTAATCAGAACCTGTTGATTTCTCCTTCTGGAGAGGTTCTGGCTCAGCAGTGCTAATTAGCAGGGTAAGCCCAGCAAGCCCGGGCACGTCATCACCACCTGCACCGCGCTGGCACAGCAGCCTGTGACATCTGCAGCAGCACCAACTCTTCAGCAACAAAGGTGTAGGACTATACATTTCTTTTTGAAAAAGGTGAAAACACAAAAATGTGCACCATGCCAAAGGCTGCCCTTCTCGTTTCGGGCTGCTGCCCACCTTGCACTTCGAAGGGAAGTGCTGCAGGTTGGGGTACACCCAGCTGGGTGTTATATGCCCACTTGTGCCAGAGACATGGGCAACTACAGAAGTTGTCCTTGATCACTGCCAGGGTGCAAGTCCGGACACAGAAACTTCTCCATTCAAAGAAATCAGAATAGAGAAAGGCTGAAGCCTTCACTGCTGCCTCCTGTGCTGAGAGAACTTGCTCAGCAGTCTGATTTCAGCCCATCCTGCTCTGCCCTGGTCCACATACTGCAGTACAGCTACTGCAGACATGTGGGAGCAGTAAAAACACTTTTCCAGTTCTCTTCTTCTCCAGTGTGCTCTCACCAACCCTTTACAGAAGCAGCACTGTACAGAAGATTCCACAGACCCACAGTAGAACTGCCCCCAGCCTTCCCCATCGTGGAGTTAATCAGGCAGTGACAAAATTCACTATGCACAGAAACAACAAGAAAAAGAAAGCTCATGTATCCACCTTGTGTGTGCAGTCCATCCTCCCCTTGCCGAGCTCACCTGCCCCAGTGCTTTCCTTGTCCTCAGCATTCCATGCACAGCAAGCTGGGAGATGGGCAGCTCAGGCTTGGGGACCCAGGATTATTCACACAGCAAAGCAAGGAGTTGGACAGGAACACAAACAAGGCACGAGTCATTTCCAGACCAGCACTTTTTAAATCACACAAGTCAATGAGAATTTAACTTGGCTTACAGTAAATCTTCACATAATCAGAGAGTGGTTGAGGTCGGCAGGGACCTCTGGAGGTCACCTGGTCCAACCTCCTGCCCAAGCAGGGGCACCTAGAGCTGTTTCTTCAGGACCATGTCCAGGCAACTTTTGAGTATCTCCAAGGTGGGAGACTAGTGGACAGTGCTTGGTCACTCCCACAGCAAAAATATTTTGCTTGTTTCCTCAACGGCAAAAGGATCTTTGCACTTTCACCTTTGCCAGTGATCATCCCTTAAGAATAAGATGGGCCCTGTTCAGTGTATATAAATTCTTTTTCTAGCCTGGACCAGAGAACTTATTTCCTCTGTGACTTACCTTTTCATCTGTGCACCATTTATCACAATCCTCCAGAAGCCTCCAAAGGATCAGGGCAGCTGCCAGGCAGGGCTGCATAAATTCGTCAACTCCAGGCAAGCAGCAGTTTGCTGCATAGCAATTTCTCATTCCTGTACTCAACAGGGCTTCCAAGACTTCCCACCACCCCACCTCAGGGCTCTCACAGTGAAGAACCCAACTCGTGCCAGCTCAGTGTAAGGAAGCAGGAGGCTGCCCCAGCCTCTATCAGACTCCAGCTGCTGGAAGGTGCCATCCAAAGAAGCCAGATGAAATCTCTGTACAGCAAAGGGTGAGTAAGTTCACTGACCACACTTCACTATACGTTTCAGCAAAACTGCAAGACTATTGCACATGGCTGGTCTTTAGATCTTATTAGCAGAGAAAGGCTTGGACAAGTGGAATAATTCACATTTTTTACTGGATGAACCAGCAACAGGAGGAAGGGAACAACGTATGTGGATGAATTCAATTCTTCAGCTATTATGGAAAATGCAATGGAAATACTTCCCTCTCAGTGCCAAGTACCTGAACTGTTTGGGTTGGAAGGAACCCAAAAGGTCATCCAGTTCCAACCTCCCTGCCATGGGCAGGGACACCTTCCTCTAGACCAGGTTGCTCAAGAGCTTCATCCAACCTGGCTTTGAACACTTTACAAGGATGAGGCATCCACAACTTCTCTGGGCAACCTGTGCCAGTATCTCACTGCCCCCACAGTAAAGAATTTCTTCTAACAGTTATTCTAAACCTACTCTCAGTTTGAAGCCATTCCCCCTTGTCCCATCACTACATGCCCTTGTAAAAAGTCCCTTCCAAGTCTTGGAAGCTCCCACTGCAAATCATCCAGAGAACCTGCACTTGCCTTTAAGCCCTTCTGAAAAGCCTCACCCTGGAAGGCAGGACCTCGGTTATCCCAGGACTATCAAGCTGCATATATCCTCATCCATCTGCCTTAAAGTCTTAGCAGCTGGCACACCTCATGCCCCAGTCCAGCAGCTATTTCGGGCTTTAAACTAATTGCCAGTACCCACGCAGCCAGTGTTTTACAAAAAAATTGAGTAAATGTGGTCACTGAGGTTTGTGTCATTCCAGAACTTCCACCCTGTGATCCAGACCACATGACATTGTGTCCGTGATGCGACGCCACAGGCTCTGGTCATGCAACAAGTCATCCATCACCCCAGTGATCAGGCAGTGAAGGGTAACACCCCACAGACACAGACACACACTGCTCTGTGCTCCA